GACTACGACTCTTTCGATCTCCCGGCTAATATCTCAAGCGAGTGAGTCTACTCGATTATTTGTTTTACTTTTGATTTCTTTTATGAACTGCCCATAACCCAGTTTGTTTGTTCGTATCATTGCTCGAGATTACGATTATGTGAGCACGATTAAATGCCATTGAAGCGTATGGTTGTAGGCAAGTTCGAACCGACATTAAGCGTTACATGAGGGAAGCCGTCCTTCTTTCATCACTCTCGATGAACACAGCCATTGATGTGAGTTGATTGCGCTCGTAAAACATCCCCTTCTCTATCAACATTGCCTTTTACTTGTTCTCACGAAAAATTTTTTATTTCCAGCTAAGCTTTCTTGTATGATCAGACGTACCTCATATCGTCTTATATCGACGAATCTCAAAACTTTTATTGTTGTATGTGTTTGTTTTCATCCTCGTTGAGTTCAACTTCAGATCCTATCGGCGTTTCTCTCAACCGGTAGCAGCATTCAAATGGATCCAGAATTTCCGAAAAAACCTCGCAATGCCTTCACCATTTTTCTCAAGAATACTTGCATGGACTCAAAAGGAATGGACATAAAAATGGCGATGACGGTTAGTATTGTCGCTTTATTCAGTTGTATTTGTTATTCAGTGCTTATTCGGTTCATTTTCGCTTGATTTCGCTCAGTTTTGAGGCATACAAAAATGCGTACATGATTGAATGGGTTATTATTGAATATGCATAATTCTTTTCGCTTTTTTCAACTTTCCTAATGAAACTCTTCTATCGGGTCAATTTCAGAATTGTTCATCACAATGGAAAAGTGAGTTGTTTTCTACAGAGCGAGAACGATCCGAGAAGCAGTATTTGGAGCAACAAAAGGAATACTTGCGACAGCTTAATGCTTATAAGTAAGGATCTGCTGTTTTATGGTACCTAGGATATATACTTTCATATATGAATTAATAGGAATAACTTCACGAACAGTCTTCTTGTCCGATCGTTCTTTCGTTGTTCAGTCATTCGTTTCTGTTGTTGTTGTTACTACTGATGATTTATTGTTATTTGTTCATTCGGTTGGTCATTTTGTATTCGTTCTAACACTGATTATCATCATTATGTTCCTAATGAAGACATTTCAATTGCAGAGAGAAGCACCCCAATTTGAACAAGGAACATCTAGAGTTTATCAATAAATTGATGTTGAATACAAGAAAATGGGTAAGTGTTGTTTTTATTGGTAGTTTTTGCAGTAAATTTCTTTGTGTGAATGAATTTGTTCCAAAATTTTCGCTGAACCTTCTTTTATTTGCATTGTATTCCATTTAATCAATGGTATAATAATTGAATAATTGAGAGATGCTCTGAGTGTGTATGTGAATAATTTTAAGGTGAGCAAAGCTGAAGGTACAGAATTGAAAAGTCCGAAGAAACCGAAAGCACCTCCAGCTAAAGTGTCAAAGGGTGTGGCAACGAAACCGACAAAAACACCGTTTGAATTGTTTTGTATGAGTAAATCAGACAAGTGAGTTCAATCCGTCTTCATTATGTGGGCTTGTGATTATTTCGTCATTGGTATTTGAGTAGTGTTGCGTGCACAAAGTTATAGTTTCATTGCAACATTGCACTTCGAATGTTTGGCTTAGAAGTAGAAGTGGTCAGGTTTTTGATTCAGAAATAGATAGGTTAGATGGATGTCTTCATGAAATGTCAGTGGTTTTATGTTATTTTGGATGTTTGTCTTCAGTTGTCAAGTTTTCAAATTGCAGATACGCAGAGTTGGACGAAGAGAAGCGAGAACGGAAACTGCGTAAGAAATTCGACAAGCTGACAGCAGCTGAGAAGGAGATATATGAGAACTTGGCGGCAGCGTTGTAAAATTGTCGGATTCTCATTTGTTTGATTTTATTGCATCTCATTCTAATTCATTCGTTGATTGCGACTGATGGAAATGTTGTATTCGATTGGTGTATTGTAATTATTGAGTAATCAACTCGAAGAGTTCATACTTCATTTGGATTGTTTGAATCAAGGTGGGTAAG